GGACAGTCTGAGATTCACCCTGGAAAAACTGCAGAGGGAGGAGAGGCTGAGGCACTCTCAGCCTGCAGAGGAGGTGCTCAGTGTGGATAAATTCCTGCGGCAGGGAGCAGGGGAGATGAGGCTGGGCTTTGCAGGGGGAGCCAGGCAATGGGCACACATGGAAATTCAGCAAGTCCTGTTTCAGCACAGGAGGATTTTCTGCTGTAAGGGTTKGCCCAGAGAGGCTGTGGAGTCTCTGTCTTTGGAGACACTCGGAGCTGGGTGCTGTGCTCGGCCCTGTGCTGGGCAGGGGATTGCTGGAGGTGTCCAGCAGCTCCTTCCAGCCTCAGCTCTTCTGCAGCTCTGCATCAGAAAATTCACCTCAGCAGGCTGCTCTAGCAAGAGGAGCCCTCTTTGATCCCTGTGTGAGGCTCCATTTCAAGCTGTGTGTGACAAACACCCTTCAGGTGGTGTTCATTAGATGTGGGCAAAAAGAGTCAGTGACTCACCTATTCCATATTTAAAATACATACTCATGGCACTCTTAAAATTGGCATAAATAAGAATCCTCCATTTCTCTGAGCCCAAGGAAAACCAACCACTTTTGCAGAGCAGGGTGGATCAGAACAAACCACACACAACTGTGTAAAAATATTAACAAGGTTGTCACGGTGACTTACTTTGTTAAATAGTCAAAACCCCTCAGCTGCAGCATGGTCATCAGAAAATTGTAATAAAATGTATTTAACTGTCTATGTTCAGTCACTGACTCCTGATGACCTTTCTGTAAATCCATTAATCTAGTGTTCATGAGAGCTTCATTTCAGTTGTAGTGCTCTGCTCAGAAGTGATTTTTGAAGCACTAGTGTTTCCACAGCCAGAACAATTGATCAGGTTTTCTATTTGTGATTTCCTCTGGTTTCAATGACTGTTGTGATTGTATCCCCTCCACCCTCCATGGGTGCCTCTCACTGCCTCACTGAGCCAAGTGTCCTTTGCAGGGCAGCTGGGGGAATGGAGGAAGAAATCACATTTAAGAAAAGAGTCGAGCAGCCTTTTCTGTGGAGATGAAGTTGAGCTCACAACAAACACAAATCATCAGGGCAACGAGTTCAGCTTTTCCGAGCTGGTTCCCCGTTTATTCCCCGTTTCCACCCATGTCCCACAGCGATGACTTGGCCTGGGTGTGAGCAGGGCTGTGCCACAGCTCTGCSTCTGGAGCTGTGGTGGTGCAGGATGTGCTGCCAGCAGAGCTCAGTGTGTGCTGTGCAGGGAGAGATTCAACCTCCTCTGCCCTGTGCCAGKAGGGACAGATGGAGCAATGCCATCCAAACCAACCTCGGTGACTGCAAAGTGGGATACCAGGCTGGAAGGTTTGTCAGCCTCGGGGTGCCTCCCCAGCTCCAGTTCCTCCCAATAAACCTGGCCAGTCTCACTTCCTCCTCACAGACCTGCTGCAGAACAACAGGCCCTGCAAAGCCCAACCTCTACAGGAAAGGAGGGTAGCTCCTGATTAAAAAAAMCCTTCCTATTTTGAGTAAAATAATTGATTTTTTATTTCTTCGGCATGTTGCCTGATAAGTTTTACTGTGACTTTTGCCATCATCTTGGCACTCTTGATCCACAGTTAAGAGTCTCATTAGAAGTTAAATTATTTGTGAAGCTAATGACATATTTTTTAGGTATAACAGACTATTGTGGGAAAAAGCTGCAGTGAGGGTTGAGATGCTCACCTCCAAAGCCAGCTTTGCACTGAGCCTGAGGCAGAACACAGCCTGAAGTCAAAGCAAGACAGATTTGATATCTTTGTAATGGACCCTGCTCCTGGAGCTCTTCCATGGCTCCACAGGCAGAGGGACAAATCATCCCTGCTGGCCTGGATCTTCCCCACACGTTTAAATGYGAGCCGTGAGAATCCACAAGCCCTGAGCTCATCCCACAGCTGAGAAGGAACCAGCATTTCACACTTCCAGCATTTATTTTTAAATCCTAAGTACCTTAGGAGTCCRTGACACATTTTCAGAATTGACTTGGCCACTTGAGTTTGATTCAAAGCTGTCTGAGGSAATAGATTTGCTCCCATTCAACTCTGGGCACTTTGGAGTGTTGCTCCCAAACCAAGCAGCTCCTTTGAAAGTCATCCTGATTCTCCCTTCCCAGGTGGGTATGGCAAAGCCAGGAAGTGGTGCCAGCACCTTCCCACCTCTCAGCCAGAAATGGCTGCATTTCATGGGCTCCAACTGCAGTGCTGAACAGCAGCTTGGAGGGAGACAAAATAGAAGGAAAAAGCAATGATAGGAACTGCAGAGGAAAAGCAACAATGACTGCAAGAACAGRGGAGACTAAGAAAGACACTCAGTATTTGGGACTGAAGGGGTAAGATGTCCTTGGACAGAGGTTTTCGTAACAAAAATAATTACTGTCGCTCTGCTGCTACCATCACCTCTAACATGGAACTGTGCCATCACACACAGACTCCCCATTAACGTGGGAATCTCCCTACCTGTCTCATATGATGCTTGAGAAGACAGGGAACATCTGTTAGGTTTGTACAACAGCCCAAAAGAATATTCATCCAGCAGCAACTGCCCTGCACTGGCTATCAGACCCAATTTAAATTTTCATCTCACTAACATTTTCAAAAAAATATTATCAGAGGATAGAAAACTTCTGTTAGGAAGCACATTTTAGTGCAGGCTTTGAGCAACTTTCCCTTAAACCATTACAGTGTGTGGAGCATAYAGAAATAAAAATTGCACATACAGAAATAAAAATAGCAATTAAAATACACAGGTTTTAGCTACCCTAAAATAAAACAGAGACAGAAAGAAAAGAAAATTGAACAAAGTGTGAAAGTTTCAGTATAGTAATAAAACTGCTACACTTTATAGAGGGAAAGAGAGGATAAAACTTTACCCTGTTATGAGGTACAATTTGCATTTTCCTGGAAGACAGCACACCCTGTTCTCATGAAGTCTGGAGAACTTTGGGGAGGAATGAATGGTGTTCTTTCTCTGCTAGCTGAGGGAGGTCTCCTGCATTTAGGGTTTCTTTACACATTTTACATTGAGGCAGGTACTGAAAAAGTGCCTGCTTTTCCAAAGTTTACTGATGGTGGAGCAGGGAGCTGCTGCTCAGGGATACCTGAAGCCCAGGGAGGGGATGCAGCACCCTCAGCAATCACAGATCAGGGCTCTGTTCTGTGTCACCCAGCACAGGGCACCCTCTGCCTTTCGGTTCAGAAAAAGCAGCTTCAGTTCACAGTACAGACCAAATACAGGAGACAATTGCCTGCTGAAGCAAACCACCCAAATACATTTTCCTCTCACAACAGAATCTTATGAATGCAAAAATAATTGCTGGTCTTGTGATTTGGGGGCCAAGCTGCACGCTTGTGTTGTGTTGTGCAATATCCTGTCAGTTTGCACTTTATAAAGCTTACTGCATAGCTAAAGCTTCCATCCTGCAACCAGATATATTCCTGCCCTCTTAATCCAGCTGGGCAATACAACATTTCCAGCCAAAAAAGGTGAAATCCAAAGATGCTTTCCTTGAAATGAAGTGTTAGCTTCGAAGCTAAGCAAGGATTTGAGTGACAGTAGTGTGACTAAGCACAGGAGAAGCCTGGGCAAGAAGAKCCATGAAGAACCGGCCTGGCCAGATTGTCAGCTGGCATTAATCACCCTCACACTGCTCTCCTAGCTTCGTTTACTCTCCCTAAAGACCAAGACATTGAAAAGTAAATACACCAAAAGTAGCAGCTTTAAAAATCAGGTGGCATCTTTTGCAGGGAAGTTCAGCAGTGCAAGGGCTGAAGCTCCCAGGGCAGCTGTGTCCCACCCTGGGCTCTGCACTGTGCAGTCTGTAGCTGCAAAAACGAGCACAGGCTCACCTAGGTGKGGTCAGGCACAGTTAGTCCTAACGTCAACATCGGCTTTTGTATTTCCTCATTGTGTTTTTATTCTTTTTAACTGTTCAGATCTGGTACTGGAGTGGGGGCAGGGAGGGCTTCCTGGAAGTGCCGGAGGATGGTGGTTCATTGAAATGTGTTTCTGCCTCTGCCCTTCTGTTTTCTACYAAGAGAGGGTTTACCCTGAAGCGTGGGTGGAGAGAAAGCGAGCACAAGCAGAAATGGCAGGAAGAATTCGTAAGCCTTCATGTCTTTCTTTAAGTCAGCCCTAGATGCTGGATAAATTATTGCTCAGTCAAGAGGCAACCACGTAACATCCTATTTTCTCAACTTTGCAATGTTAGAACTTTTTTTAACTTTGATTTTTCAATGGCAAGAGAACCTTGGATCACCCTAGAAAGATCAATTACGAGGTCCTTTTACCTTGTAACTGCAGGGAAAGAACGAGAAAACAGGAGACCAAAAGGATTTTCAAACAAATGTCAAATAACAAGTACAGAGAGGATCTCCTCGTTTCAGTGTTTGCTGGTTTTAGGTCAGCTGTGGGTGTTTGGGTGTAGTTGTGGAGTGTCACTGCTGCTCCTTTYTACCTGTGCTGCCTCACAACTCCTGGGCACTGATCCTGTGAGTGCTCCTGGCAGCAGGGTTGGGGTCTGCAGGAGCTCAGCAGCAGCATTTTGTGCACAGCTCCTGGCTTTGCTCTTCACCAAACAGGGGAGGATTCAGCCTGTAATTAGGAATAGCTCCCCTGCTCCTGGAGCCACCCCTAGAGCTGAGGACACTCACAGCAAACAAGTTCTCAGCCCTGTGAGCCAGACAAATCCATGTTTCTTTCAAAGCAGTTTCTGGACCCAGCACAGGAACTGGGAATGTCAGTCATTTCATGGGGACTGGATATATCCTTTACACTGCATCCTTCTGCCCAGGATCAAACACTACCAAACAGTGTGTTTTTGCTTGAGGACAAATTTGGATTTCTACTCAACTCAGTTTAGAACACAGGACAGCATTAAATTAGTTTTAAACTATATAAAGAACCAAGCTGTATTCTAAAAGACTTTTAAATACAAATACATAGAATATAGGAAACGCATAGTAAATGATCACTTACCCAAAAAGCATCTTTAAACTGCAGCTGGGTCATTATTATTGCTCTGTGGAGGGGTAGGAATCCTTCAGCAAGTCCGTTCTGGGATGAGAGCAGCAGCAGGCACAGCTCTGAGCCCTGTCACTGCACCCCAGCCGAGGCAGAGAGTGCAGCACATCCACAGATCTGTCCCTCTGAAGCCAGCCTGGTGCCAATAGCAGGTGGCAGTTGCAGGCAGCTCAGAGAAATGACCTGTGGCTGCGGAGGGACAGAGGGCAGGAAAGCTGTTGCTCACCCACAGAGACATGCGAGYGCTCAGCACCCGCGCCCCAAACCTGTTTCTCTTCTGGTGAACAGTTAATATTGAAATGAGGAAGCAAGGAGATGTCAAATGGTGTCAGGCTGCTCCTTGCCATGGGTGCGTGTGAGTGGACAGGAAAAAAAGCAGAGCAAGAAAAAAGGCAGTGATAAATTCAGTGATATGATTTGATCAGCTACAGGAGGAGAGAGAACAAAGTTTACAGGAAACCAGCACAATACAAGAGATAAGATATTCTCTAATGCTGTGGTCTTGCAAAGAAAAAGAAGCAAAAGAAACATAGGTGCCCCATTTCTGCAGCACCTTTGGGGCAGGCAGAGGCCCATGCATTCGCACAGGGGAAGCTCAGCTCAAAGTCACATTTTGCAGCTGAAAAGGCTTTTCAGGACTCTGGTTAAATTCAGAACCCTGAGAAGTGTGCAGGTGTGTGCACACATTTARATACCTGGATGTTGATGTAGAGAACACTCCTGATTTGCATGCCCTCATGTAAATGCTCCTATGAATATGAAAGGTATRTGAAATTTAGAAGTAAAATCCAAAGTCTTGAAAAAAAAGAGAGGTAAGAGTTTGTGAACACAAGACCTGAGTGAAGCCTCAGAGACCTGTGAAGCAGCAGCGCCCAGACCACATTCAGCATCCCACTGACACAAGGTATTTCAGGCAGCTCCCCAAATCAGCTCCTCCAGTTRTTATAACACAGCTGCAAATACCTAAACGCAGGGTAACCCTTCTAAAGCTTCCCTGAAACCCTCTCCAGAGTACCTGTCCTCCAGGTCAGGTTGCCTCTGTTCACCTCCTTGGGATGTTTGAAGCATTCTTAAACGCCTGCTTTTAAATACTCACTTGGGCATTTTGGGGGTGTAGGAAAAGAAAGAAGAACAGTTCTGTGGTGGTCGCCTGTGCAACAACTGTCTTTCCACAGCAAGAACAKATCAGGACTTCTCTGTGACTGACATTCCTGCTGGGTGTTGCTGCTCTCCTGCTGTCCCCACAGCAGCACCCACCCGGGCAGATCACTCTGGATTGGGGAAGTCTCACATCTTCCCTGGGCTCCAGCAGGACACGGGGCTCTGCCCAGAGAGCTCTGCAGAGCTGGTGGCTGGAGTTATCCCTGCTCATTCCATGGGCACTTTGTAGCTGGTGTTTTGAAGAATTTTCAAGTTTCCTTCAGACCTGATGATCTGAAGAAGACAGGGAGTGTGCAGAGAGGGAAAATAAAGTGCAAGCAGAGGAGTCTGGAGGGTCAGAGGTGTAGCACAGAAAAGCATCATCACATGAGAGTGGGAGGAGAAAAGTGAGGATTCACCTGGAGACAGTGTTGAGGAGGAAGGAGTGAAGCTTTCTTCCAAAGGAAAAATTCCTTGAAAAAAATGTATTTTGGGGGCATGGGCACTAGTCATACTTGATCAGTATGCCAAAAGAAAAAAAAAATCTTTTTGGGGGTGTTTTATCTCAGTCTTTCTAAACCTAAATGTTTCCTGTTACTATTTCCAAGTTACAGCTGTGTTTTGAAACCATCCTGGCTGCTGCTGGGGTTCATAAAAATGCACTGAGTGTGTTTTGGCCCTCCAAAATGATATGCTACTTTCCAGCTATTTTTAGTTTGGCCTTCAACCACAAAGCCAATTATTTGCCTGAACCTTGCACTGGTTTTTGTGCCTGCACCCATCACACCCAACAGCTCTGGTGCAGCACAGTCACCTCCCCAGCAGCACCCAGGGGTGCTCTCTCTCAAACACCATCAGCAGTTTGCTCTACTTGGGCAGTTTTCTTTACTTCTCTCTCCCCCGTGGCTGCAGAACAGCCCAGACCAAGTSTCCAGGTATTGTGATGAGCTGTCAGAGCAGCCCTGGCTGTGATGAATTAGAGCTGCTGGGGTGGCCTCGATTTGTGTCACTGCTCACAGGTGCTGGTGGTGCTGAGTTCTGTCCAGAGGGTGCTGTGCCATGCAGGGGTAGCCAGGCTTTGCAGGGCTCTAGAAGAGGAAGACTGTTTTCTATTCCCCTATTCTCTAATTAGGAAAAAGAATCAAGGTCTGCAGTTCTGAAATGCTATAGCTCAGGATCGGGTTCATATCCTGATGTGAGTGGCCAGAGTTTTGTGAAATCTAGAAAGGCTGAGCTGACCAGGGAGCTCTGTGGGGCTGAGAGCAAGGAGCAAAATCAATGAACCTTGCTAGGCTGTTAACTGCTGTAATGCCATCTGCTGAAATCACCTTGAGCATCCTGCAATTTCCCCTAGAAAAGAGCGATGTTGGTACCCGTGCACCAAAAAGCAGCATTTTAGTGGGCAAATGAGACTTGTGGTGATACTTTGGAAACCTGCAGGGCCTCTCATCTGCCCTTCTCACTCTTTTAAAGTGAATTTTTACCTGACCTTGCATACAGGCTCACTCAGAAATTCAGCAGTGTCAACAAGGAACCTTAAGTGGAACTCTTCCCTGACAGCCACTGCATTTCCTGCCACCACTGCTATTACAGCTTAAAAATCAGCTTTTCTGTTTGATAAGGCAAATTAAATTGTGTGGCAGCAGAATGTACCATTTAAATCCATTCTGTAGTGAAAAGTAAGGAAAAATCTGATTAAAAAAAAAAAATTAAAACCCCTCAAATGTTCTCATTCATTAGAATGGAAGTTACACTCAATTTTAAACTATATATTGCTTTGAGCAAAGCTTTTCATCAGGGATTTGGGTGGCAGGTTTAGACTTGACAGTAGGTAAAATATGAAAGTAGCATCTACAAACATTTTTGTGCTCATCCAGGACTCCAAGCACGACATTCTTCAGAGTAAAAGTTTCTGATTTTGGGGAGTTTGATGGATTAGACAGTAAACCTTTCATTCTACATTGAAAGATGATGAGGGAGTCTTTTCATTAAAGCAGAATATAAACAGATGCTGAATACTGAGATAATCCAGATGTTGAGGTGGTGTAATTTTCAAAACTCAAATACATTGTGATCCCTTGGAATGGTTGTTTGGGAAATGAAAATGGAGACTCAAAGGCACCTGTGCAGTCCTTCCCAGGCTCCATAACCATTCCATCTGAGATACAGCTTTGAAAGGATTGCTGTAGTGCAGCCAGGCCCAATTCAAACTGCCCAGCCTGGGGTGTCTATCTGAGCCCCAGAGGCTGGAGACAGCAGCAGCAATGAAACCACTTCCAGAGGAAAACCATGGCTAAAACAGACCCAGGTTCAGGGGCTGAGCTGTGCCTGCCATTCTATTTCCCATACGAATGCATCTCCATGCAGGGAATGTCAGGGGCTTGCAAATTATCCACAATCATACCCATTAAAAATTGTTAAATCACCTTGCTTTCTGTGAGGAGCCTATCTCTGTTTCCATGGAAACAGAAACAGCATCCTCTGAGCATCCAGCTTGGTTTGCTCCAACTCCTCTGGCCCGCCCGTGGCTGTGGCAGGGAGCTGGTTCAGCACATCCCACACCCTCACCATGGCTCTGGTCAGCTCTGAAACACAACCTTTGGCTTCTTTTGGAAGGAACTGCTGCAACAGCCTTCCCAAAGCACTGTATCACAGCACAGGACAGGCCTGCTGGCATTTTGCTTCAGTAAAATCGATAATTAATATAAAGATTAATTGCACAGGCTCTGTTCTTACCCCTTATCTAACATTTCATAGCAGTTTCTAATAGAGGCCATCTCAGAAAGGTGGACCCAGTTCYGCTGTTTTACCCAAGAGAAACAGCCATTGCCATAATAATAAAGAACATGATTTGATTTCCTCTAGAATTAACATTGTGATACTTTGTATATAATAAAATTGTATCATAGAAATGTGGGGGTCTTTTTGTGCTTGGTATAAACTATCCTTACCCTGAAAATGTTTCAAAGACAAAAAAAGAGAAGAGGAACTGTGGAAAAGTACAATGTCACTAGTGCCTTGAATAGCACAAACAGGATCTGGTTGTTCTTGGGAGAAAAGTAGAAGTACTTTGTGAAAGAGAAAACAAAATTATTTGGGTTTCTATCTCCCCTCCTTGTCATAAATTCAGGTACCTCCTGAGAGATGTTTTTTATTTCCCTGACACCTTTTGAATGCTTTACCAATACACCAGTTTTCTCCATGCCATTAATCCAAAGGAAATCACTTCTCATTTGTAAGCACAGCCCATTCATTAGGCAAGTGCAGTGCTTGTGGTGCTGAAGAGGTTTCCAGGTCTCAGAAAGGACCCTTGGACCTTTGTCCCAAACATGTCATCTCCAGCAGATCTGCCTCTGGACCAAATGTCCCTTCCTCAAGGAGATAAAAGTGAATATATGGACTTTCCTAGACTGAACCTGTCATGCCATTAACCTTTCAGACTATTTCAAATAATCATAAAATGGGACAGTACTCACCTTTTAGCTGAGGTTAACTTTTAGAGGTTATTACTACAAATACTATTTATGTAATGCCTTGATGCTTTAGCATTTAACAGAAATTAAAAAATAAACACAATTGYTTTTGCAAACTTGTCCAGAAATACTAAATGCACACGTTGCTKTTTTTGAATCTTCTTTAGCAGCCAGAGAAGATGACACATCTCTGGTTAATAAAGCCAAGAATGTTGCCACTGGACATTATRCACATGGCTCACATCTCCAGGAGCTGCTATGGGTGACCCACAATAAGAAATAAATGTACAAAAGACAAAAAGATAGAACATTTTAAGATTTAATCCAACAAATGAAGAGGGTCTTGACACAGTAAAATACCACTGTATTGCTAATGCTCTACAACTGTACATTAAAAATAATTATTGTCTATAGATGTAAAAATAGCAAGTTTTATGACAGAGTAAAACACAGTATAGAAACCATTCAAAATCAAGTAGAAACCTCTTAAACAACTGAGGCATTAATGTAAGTATTTCTCCAAAGGTATTAAATAAAACCCAGTTAATACTGACTCTAAACATCCCCCCACCTTCCCCACACTCTGTCCTAATTAAATGGATTAGAAAAATAGTAGTCTCAGTTACTACATTTTGCATTCTTCCAGAACCATTTAGAGTCTCCATTTTCTCCAAGTACAGTAGAACAACTCYTCACAATACAGTACTACCCTGAAGTAATTTATTTCCCAACACTATAGAATTT